AATGGCTTAGAATCCTACATCGTCCATGTCCAAAGTTCTCATAAGCCGTCTCTCTTCTCCTCACACAACCACTGGCACAACTCTCTCCTCCGTTCCCTACCTTCTTCTCCTCAACCAGCAACGCTCCTCTACTCTTACTCACGCGCCGTTCATGGCTTCTCCGCTCGTCTTTCTCCTATCCAGTCCGCCGCTCTCCGCCGTAACCCCGCCGTTATCTCCGTTATACCAGATCAAGCGCGTCAGATCCACACCACTCATACCCCTGCCTTCCTCGGTTTCTCCGATAATTCAGGTCTCTGGAGCAACTCCGATTACGGCGAAGACGTGATTGTTGGCGTTTTAGATACTGGAATCTGGCCGGAGCATCCGAGTTTCTCTGATTCCGGTCTCGGTCCCGTTCCTTCAACATGGAAAGGCGAGTGCGAGATCGGACCGGATTTTCCTGCTGCATCTTGCAATCGGAAGCTTATCGGAGCTCGAGCGTTTTACAGGGGATATTTAACGAGTCGGAATGGATCAACGCACGCAGCGAAGGAATCGAGATCGCCGCGTGATACAGAAGGTCATGGAACGCACACGGCTTCTACGGCGGCTGGATCGGTGGTGGCTAACGCGAGCTTGTTCCACTACGCAAATGGAGTCGCCCGTGGGATGGCTTCTAAGGCGAGAATCGCCGCCTACAAAATCTGCTGGACCGGTGGTTGTTACGATTCCGATATCATCGCAGCCATGGATCAAGCGGTTGCGGATGGTGTTCACGTGATTTCTCTCTCCGTAGGTGCTAGCGGCTACGCTTCGGAGTATCATATGGACTCAATCGCGATCGGAGCATTCGGAGCGACGAGGCACGGTATCGTCGTTTCTTGCTCCGCCGGAAACTCTGGTCCTGGACCCGAAACCGCTACTAACATCGCTCCTTGGATTTTAACCGTTGGTGCGTCCACCGTCGACAGAGAGTTCTCCGCAAACGCAATCACTGGCGACGGAAAAGTCTACGACGGAACGTCACTGTACGCCGGAGAACTTCTCCCCGATTCTCAAATATCTTTGGTATATTCCGGCGATTGCGGAAGCAGATTGTGTTACTCAGGGAAATTGAATTCCTCATTGGTGGAAGGCAAAATCGTTCTCTGTGACAGAGGAGGCAACGCCAGAGTTGAGAAAGGAAGTGCCGTTAAGTTAGCCGGCGGTGCAGGTATGATTCTAGCGAACACAGACGAAAGCGGCGAAGAGCTAACCGCCGATTCGCATCTCGTACCGGCGACAATGGTCGGAGCTAAAGCTGGAGATCAAATCCGAGATTACATCAAAACGTCAGAATCTCCAACCGCAACGATCAGTTTCCTCGGCACTTTGATCGGACCATCTCCGCCTTCTCCAAGAGTCGCCGCCTTCTCAAGCCGTGGACCTAACCACGTGACGCCGGTCATCCTCAAACCGGACGTGATTGCTCCTGGAGTCAACATCTTAGCCGGTTGGACCGGGATGGTTGGTCCGACCGATTTGGATATCGATCCAAGACGAGTCCAATTCAACATCATCTCCGGCACATCGATGTCGTGCCCACACGTCAGTGGACTCGCCGCTCTCCTCCGTAAAGCACATCCCGATTGGTCACCGGCGGCGATCAAATCCGCCCTCGTAACAACCGCTTACAATATCGAAAACTCCGGCGAACCAATTGAGGATCTCGCCACCGGAAAATCATCAAACTCGTTTATCCATGGAGCAGGACACGTCGATCCGAACAAAGCTTTGAATCCTGGTTTGGTTTACGACATCGATGTGAAGGAGTACGTCGCTTTCCTCTGCGCCGTTGGATACTCGTTTCCGGGGATTCTAGTGTTCCTTCAGGATCCGACTCTTTACGATGCCTGTGAAACGAGCAAGCTTAGAACCGCCGGTGATCTCAATTACCCATCTTTTTCCGTGATTTTCGGATCGACCGTCGATGTTTTGAAATACAAAAGAGTTGTTAAAAACGTTGGGAGCAATGTCGACGCGGTGTATGAAGTCGGAGTTAAATCTCCGGCGAACGTTGAGATCGAGGTGTCTCCGAGCAAGCTTGAGTTTAGCAAGGAGAAGCGCGAGTTGGAGTACGAAGTGACGTTTAAGAGCGTTGTGCTCGGTGGTGGAGTCGGATCTGTTCCGAGTCAGGAATTCGGGTCGATTGAATGGACCGACGGTGAACACGTCGTCAAGAGTCCGGTGGCTGTTCAGTGGAGTCAGAGCTCAGTTCAGTCCTTCTGATTTGATCATTCAAATTGGGCTCTGGTTTTATGTTTTCATGAAAGAACTCTATTGGGCCTGAATGTTAATGGGCCGATGTATTTTACTCATTGTTAAGCCCTCACTCTTGGGTTAGACCCCTATGCATGGGGTGAATGAGCAGAAAATTGGAATTGCAATTTGTAAAATTCGTTTCTCGTTTGATTCCATGCATCCGTCAAGAAACAGACAATTTCGATCCCACCAAAGAAAGTAAACGAATATTATTTTTATGAATAACTTCAATATTTGTTTCTGTAAATAAGTCTTAATTCGAAAAGGAAGAAGATAAAATAATTGTAACACAAAGGCAAAAAGAACACTCTAGCAATAGTCAACACTCAACATCAATTCAAAAATATATAAAATAAAAATTAGCCGTCCATGAATTGACACACACAGAAAGCTAAACAGAAGTCAAGAAACACATACTTTTCCGGTGAATGGTTTTTCATTAGAAACTACATAATTGCATTAAAGTTGACTTTCTATGTAATAGAGACAAAACGGGTCCCTTGAGCTACGTAATTATGTGTTGTCGTCTTCTGCACCAATACATGAATAGGTTTACTCTGTCTAAAGCTTATCTACTTACATTGCTTATACATAATTCATTTTTGCGCTTGAGAATAAATGATTCCGATTTACGAAATTGTAACACTAATTAAGCGATCAAGATTTGGGGAAGTTTAATTAAGAGCACTCATACATGTATGACTTGGTTACTCACACTCGAGATGAGACAAGACACTCAAAAGTCAAAAGTATTTTGGATGTTTACAAACAAACAAAATTCATATACACTATGGCGATAATAACAAATATTGCGACCAATCTCTAAAATCTAATCACCTTTAGTTAAGATTTACAATATACTGATCGACGACGATCCCTCTATGAAACTTGACTAGCGTATATATTTGGTTTGATACGATGTAACATGTTGCTAAATGATAACAAGCATCATGTGCAGTCTATTTTCTATCTAATTTTTCCCTCTTTCATATATTGTTTCTCTTTTCCCTTTTCAGTAATAAGTAATTTACTAATTAACCTTATATCATAATTTCAATACACAAAAAATATATCAAAATATGTGGCACCCTGAAATGTCGTGGTATATAGGTTATCTCCTAAATAAATAAAAAGAGATATTTTTTCATATAACAACAAAAATTACAAATGGTATGATTTGGACATACGATATTAGTTTACGTAAATTACGCATTATGACAAATTAACTCGTAAGCGACCGCATAACAAATTTCATGACTCGAGTCTCTCTCTATATATACAAGTTTCTCAATCTAACTCCATGAATTAACCATCTCTCTAATTCTTTCTTCTACAAAATTCTCTCGCTATATCCCAATGGATCACCATTCAGTCATCACCGCCGCATCCACGGCATTCAGGTGGCCGTTAAGTCACCGGAAGGTCTATCTCCGTCGGCGTAAGCCACAAGTCGTACGTCTCGGCGGAAAAAACAGTACGCCACGTGGCAGATTCTCGCTAAAGAGGATGGTGAGAAGGATGAGGCTCAAGTGGCTGAGACTGTACTACGTGAGGCTCGTGAAGATGATCAAAGGGTATTATCGTAATTTAGTGAAGGAGTTTGCTGACGCCGGAGCTGCCACATTCCAGCAGCGGATGACGGTGGAAACGGCGGCTTTCGCCGCTCCTGGCTTAGGCTTATCTTTCTATACCATGTCCTCACACGACCGACCTCGTTTTTTTCTTGTGTAGCTAAAGT